CACACACACACACACACACACACACACACACACACACACACACACACACACACACACACACACCCGCCCCCATCCCTGTGTCTCAGCAGCCCTTTTCGGTTTGAGGCGGGAGGCCTGTTGGGAAACGCTGCTCTCAAATGTCTACTCCTTCGCAAGTAAGAGTGAAAGTATTTAACGGCACGTCTTGCTGCATGTTTGACTAGTTTGGGTAACAGTTGCACATGCTCTTCTCCAGCCTTAAGAGACTTGTGTTATGTTTAATGACAAAAATAAAAATAAAATAAAGATAAAGCTGCAACATGTCTAAAACCCTTTTGGTATCAGGCGGAGTATAAACATGGGCTGAAGTGAAAGTGAAGGTCACATTCCTGATGTGATTCTGACAGAGTGAGAGTGATTGTGCATAACTTACCACCAAATAGAGCATGGTGTACATTGCAAAGGAAGCATGGCCAGAGAAAAAAGACTTCCTGAAAGAGAAGATCAATAAAAGTTATGTATTAACCATCTGGGTTTACTAACCGTATACCCCACCCTTTGTGAACACACAAACAGAGAGTAAAAGCACACACCTTGCCTCCTCCACCAGCTTCAGGTCGGGCTGCCTGCAGGAGACCTGTGAGACGTATTGGCCCGGGACGCAGTTAATAGATGCATAGGTGACATTACACACAGAGAGGAAGTACGGTCGCAGGCGGCCCACGCTCAGCTTGGCCATATTCGTGAGAGACTGGCACACAGAGCAACCAAACAGGAAGCTTCCTAGTTCCTTGTACAGGCACGACACATAGCGGTTTTGAACAAAAGCACGTGAGTGTACCCCTCGAAAACGCACACGGTAGCATTCACCGAATGCAATCTGAAAAACAAAAAAGGGGAAAATGGACAACTGAAGTCCATCAAATCACATTCAATGAGGACAGTTTGAGTCGTTTAAAATATAATTAGCCTTACTGTTAAGCCTGTGATGACTATGCCTCCAGCAGTGAGCAGTGTGTCAGGGATAGCCTCCTGCTCCAGATAGGGATAGGTGATKGTGGTGTCTCCACAGAAAAACCCTCGCTTATACGGCGTCACTGCCTTCAATTCACACGCAAAAAATGGAATGGAGGCTGTTAAAAATAGGGGGAAATAAGGAAGGGGGAAGGGGG